AAACTGTATGAGAAATAGCTATTTCTCGTTACTGGCCTGTAATCGTAAGGAACGGGAAACATATGCCTAAAGTTTTTAAATACCACTAGAAATTATACTGAATTGAATAAATCAGGAGAAATCTGAATAGAGTTTCTGCAACAAAAATAGTTTGTCTTTTACCTTTGTCTCTGCTATTAATTAAAATTACGTTATTTAAGATTTATCTTAGAAATCTGTTGCATATCAAAACAGGCTAATATGAGCATTCACTATTTGAGCTACATCTCTGGTCCCACTTATTTTCCTAAAGACAGGAGAGATCGACTGTTAGTAGCCTCAGGTACACTTTGGGGCAATTTTTGTGTGTTTAGTTGAAAAAGATTGATTTCTGGAGGGGTGCTGAGTGATTTTTTTTTCTTGAAAAGGGTGGAGTAGGCCAAATAAATCTGGGATTCCGTGATTTTAAAGTAATGTTCAGATTCAATATCAAAATCCCAATAGCATTTTCCACAGAAATACAATTAAAAAACTTAAGCTTTATATTGGCTTATAGGATTGGGAAATGCTCAAAGGAAAGGAGAGCCTCTACCGGGAGACCGGGTGTCACATGGCCCTAAACATGGGCTAAAAGCAGCCACCAAACAAAGCATTTATATGGAACTACAAGAGACTCCAAATAATCAAAATAACCCCAAGAATAAGGTGTCAAAATAGAAACAAAAGCTGGAGAGATGTTGAATAACATTGGTTTGTCCTGGGGCTGGAGCGATAGCACAGCGGGTTGCGTGTTTGCCTTGCACACAGCCAACCCGGGTTCGATTCCCAGCATCCCATATGGTCCCCTGAGCACCGCCAGGAGTAATGCCTGAGTGCATGAGCCAGGAATAACCCCTGTGCATCGCTGGGTGTGACTCAAAAAGAAAAAAAAAAAAACCACATTGGTTTGTCTTTTCTTCCACTCCGCACCCCCAATCAGGGCGTTACAGGTTACTGAGTTACATCAGTAAACAGTGCTCTAGAGGTACACCCAATTCCACCCGGTATTCCCAAACCTCTGTTTATCTTTTACCTCTCTTTTGTGCTCTCCTTCCCCGATACTAGTCACTTTTCTCCCCAATCAGACCTTGTGACTTTGTAAAATCAAATTCTTCTGAGGACTCTGGATTTTTTTTTTGAAACAATATTGCTTTTCTCTTTTCTTTATGTCCTTTTTATATAGACACAGGAAGACAGTTAATGCTATGCCTGAGTAACTTGGGGCTCCGAGAAATATTTATTCCTGAGTGCCCATCATATTTACCTGACTTAAGCTTCAGTTGCCCTTAGCTCCTGATACCCAAAAGGAGATCCTGGCAAGGGACAAGGATGGAATCAGGGCAAGCTATAACCTACCCTTGCATCTGAAAAGGACAGGCTAAGTGCCATAAGAAGTATAATATCAGCATGCTCATGCAACAAACTCTGTCAAGACCCAAAAGGTTGAATAAAGGACCCTTCTGAGATTAGGATAGACTAGCCTGGCCTGAGGCTGTAGTCTGAATATACAGGGAGATGTCTCCAGGAGAGCCACCCTGTAAGCTTAATATATCTCTTACTCTGTCCATACAAAATGACTAGACATATTATTAAAAAGTAAATTTAAGATGACTATTTAAATGGTTACTGGCAAAGAAAAGGAGAAAGCAATACACACTTACATGGAATTCCACCCTTGGGTAGATCTCCTAGCAGGAGATCCTGCTAAGCACTTAGATGAGATCTTGTCCTTGAGTGTCTCCTAGAAGAACTGCCCTTGAAGGAAGTACTTTATATCTGTTCACTGTTGATGATAATGTTTAGTAATACCTATGTGTAACTGCTACTCCCAACCCTGATTACTCTAGACCTAATGCTGTGAGATTTGAATAAATAGCGACGGATTACTAACTAGCCTGGCGGCCCCGTTCCCTCCTTTGTTCCTCCATCGCTGTCAGCGGGCCAGGGTTGGGGTACAGTGATTCGGCCTGGAATGCACCCAGTGGACCCTCGGGTTTTCACGGATGGGCTAGTGATTACCCACCACCCAGAAATAGCAACAGAGAAATATCTCAACAGGTTTGTTGGAGGCCTGGGTTCAATCCCTGAACAAACAACTTGGTTCCTTCAATGCTGCCGTAATCCCAAAGCATAGAGCCAAGAATAAACATGGAGCACTGTTTGATGTGTCCCTCAAATGGAATGAAGCAAAACACACTCCAACTTTAAATTAAACTTCAAAGTGATAGAGTAGTCAGAATAGAATGGTAGGGGACTAACAGAAGATACAGAGGTCAATGGGGCAAAATTGAGAGCCCAGTCATAAATCCACACAGATAAGGACAACTAATTTATAACAAAATAATTAGAGTGTGAGACAGAGTAAGGGATTCTCTCCAATAAACAGTATCACAGACATCCAGCAAAATGGTAAGACAAGCTCTATCAAATAAAACTCCCTGGCCAAAGTATGACCAGAAATCAATTACATATCACAGAAAACATCCCGCTCATTCACAGCACAGTTGGCCTGAGCCACACATGCATCCTGTCACAGAAAGGAATGGAATCAGAGAAGCAGGATTGGTCAGGAAGATCCCAAGTGGAACTGACATCAATGCAGACAGATGTGACCAGAGGAGTCGAAGGGCCGACACTATAGAAAGAACAGTTCACCTTTTGGACGGGGGAAACCCAGGAAATGCCAAGGGCTGCAGACAACCATCAGAGGCTAAGCAGGGGTCAGGGGGCTCCCTCAGGGCCTCTAGAGAAAACACGGCCCTGCTCACAACCTGACTTCAGACTTCGAGCCTCCAGAATGGCAAGAGAAGAGTTCCTATTGCTTTCAGCCACCCAGTGTGTGATACTCTTGTCACAGCAGCTTTAGGAAGCTAATTCAGTATTGATTCGTAAACCAGAAACAGAAGCATGACACACATCACACATGTTGCTATGGATGGATGGTAACATCCTAGTGTTGTCTGATGCGGATTTTCCAAGAACTCATTTAATTAATTTTATCGATAAGTTCATTAGGGATCACATTTTGACCAAGAGTCAAAAAAAAAAAAAAACCAAGATGAGAGAGAGAGAGAGAGAGAGAGAGAGAGAGAAGAGAATGGTGGATAAGGAAATGAAAGGAGAACGGGAGAGGAGTTATATTAATGGACCTGACTGATTGCCAGAATAAGAAGCACCACTAAGTGAAGACCCTCACCAATGCAGTAGAACCCCAAGGTCACCCTGGGAGGCTGGGCTACTGTTCTCATCTCATTCTTCCTGTACGAACTCTATTCTTCTGTCTCCAGCCTGTCTCTACTGACCAGGGAACAACATGACTGCCGGCGGCTCCCAGTGCTTCTCTCCAGAGACAACCTCTAAGGAAAGGCACCCTCCAATCTCTGGGCCCCAGAGCCCAGAGGAACCAGTGAAGTGGCCTGAGCAGGGCTGGCAGTTCACCACTGCACTAGCTGCTGCAGCCTTGGACTAGGCAGAATTCGGAGAGGACAGAGAGAGACCCTTTACATAGGAACTACTTTCTTCTCATTTTCTTCCATCAGAAGGAAGTAGTTTTTATTTTTCTTTCACATAAATTTTGACTGAAGTGCTAAAATAAACAACCAGGGATAAAGAAGTCATTCATTTATTTACTTACCACTTTTTTGGTTTATTTTTGGGTTCTGGGTCACACACAGCAATTTCAGTGTCTACTTCCAGCTCAGGGCTTAGGGATTGGTACTGGTCGTATTGTGGTACCATGCAGTGCCAGGGAGCAAATGCAGACCTGCTGCATGCAAAGCATGTGCTCAGCCCACTGAGCCCTCTCTATGGCCCTTAGTGAGGGTATTTTACAGTAAGAAAAGTATTATTTAAGAAATAAGGAGTAGTCATAGATCGATCCAATTACCCATAAAGGCAATACAATGATCAAGAACCCCAAGGAAGAGAATGGGAGAGATAGTATAGCGGGAAGGGTGCTTGCCTTGCTTGCGGCAGACCCAGGTTTGACTCACAGAGCACCACCAGGAGTGATCCCTGAGTACAGAGCCAGGAGTAAGCCCTGAGTAAAGTCAGATATAGGCTCCCCACAAATAGCTTCAACAAAGTGCCAAAAAGAACATGAACTGGGATGATTTATGTATTCAACTCCAAATAAAATAATTTTCAGAGTTAACTGGAAATTATTTCCTCTACTTCAATAGCCTGGCAAGCTACCAAGAGTATCTTGCCCGCACGGCAAAGCCTGGCAAGATATCCGTGTCATATTCGATATGCCAAACACAGTAACAAGTGTCACAATGGAGACGTTATTGGGCCCGCTCGAGCAAATCGATGAACAACGGGAGAATAGTGACAGTGACAGTGACTTCAACAGCTAAAAAGAATGTAAGAAAGGACACAACTCTTCTTTGTTTTGCTTTGTTTCATTGGACTACACCCAGCAATGTTCCTGGTTCAGTGCTTGAGGTTGTTTATGGTGTGTTTAGGGGATCATACCTATGTGTAATTGGTACTCCCAACCCTTCCTGATTACTCTAGACCTAACGCTGTGAGACCTCAATAAATAGCGACTGATTAAATAGTGACTGGTGCTAAGAATGGAATCCAGGCCTCCTACATGCAAAGTATGAATTCAACTCTTCATGCTATAGACCCAGCTCCAAGCAACCATTCTTCTGGGGGAGGTAGAGGGAGGCCACATCCAGTGGTGCTCAGGGCTTATTCCTGGCTCTGTGTTCCTAGGTCACTCCTGGCAGGCCTCAAGAGGGTCACAAACAGTGCCAGGGAGAAAACCCAGATCAGCCACAAGGATGTGAGGCACATTAAAACCTGAACTAGCTCTCTATCCCACAATCAGTTTTTATTAAAAACTTTTTTCCTTTTTGGTAGTTCATCACCAACAAGCAAACTGCCCTGTTATACTGTCATGTATAACAGTTTCCAGAAAAAATTAAACTCCATGTAAAACTAGTAACATTCTCAGAAACAGATGATCATCTTACCCTGGTACTGGGGTCTTCATTAGCTCGGTTTTGTTCAAACTCATTTATTTTCTGAATACTCATTTTATCAGTGTCAGCAATGACATAGTGTCTAGGAGAGTAAGCATCGGATAAGCTTCCAAGTAGCCTCAGGATCTCAGTGGTATGTCCACCTGGAGAAAAAACAGGAAGGAGTAAGATGCTGAAATTCCCCAAAGGGCTGGAGAGTTGCCCTTCACAGGGGAAGGTTCTATCCCTAATACCGCATATATTCCCTCACGCACCACAAGGGGTCACTCCTGAGCACAGAATCAGAAATAGGTCCTGAGCATGGGGATATCGTATGTTCTCTCCCCCAGATCAACCCCCAGTCAACTTTATTCACTTAAGTTTTCTTTATGGGGGGAAAAATAGCATATCTACATTTTATATAAGCTGTGTACAAATATAAACTGCAAAAAAACTTCTTATCAGTGTGCCCTATTACCCTACTTAATTCCATTCACTGGCCTCACCTTCACATTCTCAGTACTCTCTGCAGCTACCAGACAGTGGGCAGAACTCTTGCCTTGCATGTGGCTGACTAGTTCGATCCCCAGCACCTCATATAGCTCCCCTGTGTTCTGCCAGGAGTGATCCCGAGCACAAAGCCAGGAGAAGGCTTGAGCATCAGCTTGGTGTGGCCCCCAGACACAATAACAAAAAATTTATCTCTTTTCATCTAATTCATCTCTCCCTGTCTTCACTCACACTGCTTATTCCCTTAATGTACAAACCTCCCCCACTTTCATCTCCCTTAAGTCTGAGGAAGAGCTTTCAATAGCGATACCATGAGCATTAGGACGAGGACTAAGAAACAAATGAAGCATATGTTTCTCACAGGTATATCCCTACAGTAGAAAGAGAAGGGTGGCTCTCTAGATGCCAGAGGAATTAGAAGGAAATAAAATCAGCAAAGACTATGTGTGAATTTCAGAATTAGAATAATATTTTAATCTTAGAACTTGTCATTCATCTTTTTTTCATAAGGCAATGTATACATCTGTGTACTCATTTCAGTATTTTAAGCCTTGAAAAAAAGTGGTGGTTTACAAAGCTGCTACTTGTTCACAATTGGAACAATAAGAGACAAAACCTAATATCCACACCTTTCACTGCAATTAAAACTTCATTATACAGAAAAAAACCCCTACTTCATTATACTTGCTATATAAACATCTTTTCACTTATTTACTTTTAAAACAAATACTTAATATTGTCTTTAAAAATTTACGCTTTTTTTTTTTTAATGCTCACTCAGTATTTTCTTGAAAAGGGAACATTGTTTGTAAACAGTTCTGCTAGCAAGGTAAGGGTGACCTCCGCCATTCCAGGTAAGGCCTGCCTCCAGATGGTATCAACGGGCCTATTCCTAAACAGTTGGATCCCAAAAGTATCCATTCCCAGCCTGTGCCTTATTAAGGGACCACACCACAGCTCCTGAAGCTTCTGACTGCATATGCAACAGCATGACAGATCCACTCAGCAAATTACATGCTGCTCACAGTTAGATTTCCTGTCACTGGGTAAAGAATGGCAGTGAAGGAAGAGAATGCTCAACCTACTCCCTCAACATCTTCTAAGGGTTATAACTATCAAACTCACCCCCAATACAGTGAGAACACTGGAAAGCCAATGGGGAAAACATGCAGAGGTCCACCAAGTTCAATGAGCAAAAACATTATCACCAAAGATGTAAACAAAACCAACCAGCGCAATAAATCCTCTGATCTTTCCTGAAGCCATGACTCAGATGATTAATGGGCTCAAAAAATCAACAGCACAGGTAGTCAGCAAAATACAAGAAAGTTTAAGAGACAAAATGAAAAAAACTACTACAATCAGAATGATAGAAATAAAGGACATGGTGAGTGATATAAATAACTCAATAGAAGCCCTGAATAGCAGAATAAATGTTTTCCCTCTAGTGCCATCTGACATTTATAGCTGCACACACATTGGATTTGAAGACCTCAGAACTGTCCATTTAAAACTGTAGGTGCCTACAGAGCTCGTGGACTGCAGTTAAAGTGTACAAATTGACAGGATAACTTAATGTTTATAGTCTATCGCAGTATCTGAATAAGCCTATAGCGTTCTACAGTTGGTAATTTTTTTACCCTTGTGAATTTTTGTACATGTATATTTATAAAGGTGGCTATTCCCTTGGCCTCGTTTATCGAGTAGTAGCTAGGGTTCCTAAACTAAATATAAATGCCAAAGTTAATTATGCAAGACAGCAATTTTCATACAGGGAAATTTCATGTCTGTATCAAAAAGCTTTGACTTCCTCTCTGTTCACTCTGATTAGTACCTTGTTAAAAAAAAAAAAAAAAACACGCTACGGGGGACCTGAGAGATAGTTGACAGGCAGGGTGCTTGGGCTGCACGCGGCCAACCCAGGTTCGATCACCGGAATCCCATATGGTCCTCAGGAGTCATTCCTGAGCGCAGAGCCTGGACTGAGCCCTGAGCATGGCCGGGTGTGGACCCAAAACAAAATTAACCAAATATACATTTACATATATACGGAGCTACGGAGACTCTTAATAATAGGCAAGTGGAAGTTACTCATTTGTCATTAAAAGATGGCAAGGCTGCGTCATCAAATTGCATTTTGAACCAGCAGGGCAGCCAGTGTCCGGAAACGCAGAGAAACTACAAATCTCAGCATGCCTCGCTCCCCACAGCGCTCAGAAGACGGGGGAGAAGGCCGCGGTGCACTCTGGGGGTTGTAGTACCTCAGCCGAACGCTCTGCTCGCAGCCCGGAGACTTACCGGACCCGGCCACCACCAGGAGACTGAGAGAGTCCCGGGGCCCCGCGGGCCGGGAATGAAGCACGCGCCACAGCCGCAGGGCCGGGAACGCGGCCAGCAGCCCTGCCGCCCCCGCTAACAGAAATAGTAACGCGGCCCCCATTCAAAGGACAGAAGGACGCATGCGTAGTGTCGCTGCCGCGCGCTGCGCCAGCCTCCGAGGTCCGGTCAGAGTTCGGAGGGCGCTGAAAGGGCTCAAACTACGGGCGCCGGGCGGACTCAAACTACGGGCGCCGGGCGGACTCAAACTACGGGCGCCGAGCGGACTCAAACCTGGGAAGGCGAGTCCGTGCGGGGCGGGGCACGTCAGTGCTGGGCGGGGCGTCGAGCCGCCGGCGGAAGGCCCCGTTGTCCGTACAGTGGCGCGGCCTCGTTGGTCGTGCGCTCGAAGAAACTCGACTTTATCTCGTGACTAGAGGCCACCTATGAACCCTGGAACGATTCGAATGAGGTGCTACCACTCGGGCAACTTTTTGTGACCGTGACCCAAGGTCTTTGGCACCCTTCCCTGTTTGCCGCCCTCCGCTGACCGCTACCCTATGGAAAACGCCTGCCCCGGACACCGCTTGATTTAGAGTCCGCATCTCTTCGTTTACAAGTCTCTTTTAAATTTCTGCTCAGCGTTCACTGATCTCAGTGGCCAAAATAGTTAAAAGATGATCGCCTTGATCTAAATCAGTGGTCCTTAGCGGACTGAAGTTGAGTTCAAGGCAGCAGGATAGAGGCGATAACCAAACTACTATCTGGTTACTTTTACTCCAAAGCTGGCACCTTCCCCCGTCCCGTTTTGGTTTATTTTTGTCTGTTCAGTGCACATTGCAGTGACAAATAAGTACTGAGATTAGAGAAGTCCCTTTTCTTCAAATGTGATTTGCCTTCACCTGTATACAGAAGACAAGATGAGTGAGCAGGTCTAGAAAGATGCTCAGAAGTGAAATTCTTTCAGACTTAGTATTAGAAACCTGAACATGCTTTCTGCTGTAGTCGCTCTTGCCTATCAAATCCTCTTAATTCTACTTACAATGAAGGTCAAGGGTGGATATTATTTTCCTCTTTGCTGATTATTCTCTAATGGTTAAGAGACTGCAGAGATAGCTTAAATAGTTTAAATGCTTTGCATGCAGGAGTTGGGAGTTCAATTTCCAGCACTTCATAACCCCCTAAGCATGGCTGGGAGTGATCCTCAAGGATAGCAATGGAGGTAGCCTCAACTCCACGATGTAGGTCAAAATTAAAAGTAAATAATTTTCTTAGAAGTAGTTAGTAAGTGGTGAAAAATATTTACAGTTGTGGGGTTTAGAATCAGCGCTCTCAAACTTTGATGGCGTCTCCTGGGCTTACCAATGCATGGTGGAAGTCCAGAAGCAAGGCCTCTGAAAATGTGTGAGAAACAGTAGGAGGGCAGGTGGCAAAGTCATGCCTTGCATACGTGAGATCTGGGCTAAAAGATGGCACAGAAGATAGATGAGAATAGATCTGAAATGCAGTTCATTGATAGATATTGGAGATGAAAAATAAAAGGCATCAGGATGACTCAGATTTTGGCTTCAAAACTTTAAAAGGTTGGATGCTGCCATATGCTAATCAAAGAGAGGAAGAGATGCAAGATCTTGTGGTTGGAAAACAGGGAAATGTCCTACTTTGATGTTAGTTTTGAAAGCCTGTTAAACATCCTAATGGTTTTGTCAAATAGACAGTTTTATGTATATGTAAATCTGAAGCTTGAGCCCAAGCTTCAGATTTATACATTTATACAGATTTACATTCAAGTAAATACATTTAGAACTCAGAATATAGATGGTATTTAAGACCTGGGACTGGGTGGTTTTAGCCATGGGAGGATTTTAGCCATGAAGGAAATAGTTTATGTTCTTGTCCACTTTCTGCATGTGAGTATAGAAACTAGAAATGTGGGTAGTGTCAATGGGAAACAAAAATGATTCTTTTTTGCTGTGGGGCCACACCTAGTGATACTTGGGGCTCCCAGCATTGTGATTGGGGTGACTTCCCTGTGGTTCACAGGGACTATGTGGTCCAGGTATTGAACTCAATCCTCCTGAATGAAATACATATACTTTTCCACTGAATTGCATCACCTGCCTCTCATTAAAGTTATTCTAAATTTAAATAGACCTGTCACACCCTGTTGGGTAGCAAAGAGAGGTAATTTATGCCTAGAGATCTAGTAAGAGCTTGAGGCAAAAAAGGAAATAGGGGAGGAAAATCCAGGAAGATGAGAGAAAAGACAATCAGGAAAGAATGAGGTTCACAAAAGCCAACAGTAGGAAATGACTCAAGAATGAGGGAAGAGTTGGTGTATCACTTGCTGCTGAAAGGTGGGAGCAGATGTTTGGGGAACATATTCCTCACTGGGGAGCTGAATGAGAGCAGCATTTCAATTGAACAGTGTTTATGGGAAGCAGATGGGAATGGGCAGAAGAGCAAAGAAGAGCTGAAGAAAGGCAGTCTCTAGGCCATCAGTTCAAGTTTCCAGTTAAAGGGAAATGAAAGCATTAGATGAAAAATGCAGTACTGGGAATTAAGGATATATACATATAGTTATAAGCAAGCCTTAGATATATATAGCAGGAATAATAACACAGCTCCCATTCAAAGGACAGAAGAATGCATGCGTAGTATCTATTCATCTATCTATAAATATATAGATGTGCTTGTTTTTGATGTTTGAGCCACATCTGATTGCTTACTCCTGGCTCTGCATTCAGGGATGGCTTCTGATGGGTACTCAGGGTACCATATGGGGTGCTGGGGATTGAACCCAGGTTAGCTGTATGCAAGGCAAGCACCTTACCTGCTGTACTGTTTCTCTTCACCCCAAGGAAAATATTTTAAAGATGGGGGTGATTTGACTTGCTTGATGTTAAAAAGTTATCCACGAGTGGAAAATTCATGCTGGAGAAGAAAGGAATGAATACAGGATAAATTTTCTTCAAAAAATAAGGTGAGAATCCAGATTACAAGAGAAATCTGTGTTTTGATGGGAGTTGGGGTGTTTCGTCCACGGTCACAGGCTAGGGGTAGGGAAAAGGGTGCAAATAAGAAGAGATTTGTAGAAGTTGTGGTGAACAGGATTTAGAGACTGGAAGTACAGTGTATAAAAAGCTTGAGAAGAACAAAAGCATGAAATAATCATAAGCATGAAATAATCTGAAGAGTAATGGACATAGTCCTCAGGACCAGTATAGGATTTCTGTGCAGGATGACATGTCTGTTTAAATGATAAGAGCAGAGCTGGAGAGATGCTCAGTGGGCTGGAGTTCAGTGTTTGCATGCCAGAGGCTACTTTCCATCCCTGGCACTGTGTGGTTTTCCAGCACCAACAGGGGCAAACCTAAGCAAGTGTTGGGAATAGCCTCAGAGCTACCACTAGATGTGGCCCCAAAACCAAAAATAAAAATAAAACAAGTAATAGCAAAGATAGAAAAAAAAGTGTGCCAATATAATTTTTTTTGTGAAGTAAGATAGTTGCATTGGAACTTATTTAAAATAAAAATTAAAAGGCAAATTATTTAGAAAGCCAGGGAGAGAGAGTGAGAGAATTGTGTGTTCAAGAGACAACACATATTTCTCCAGAGTGGAAGTAGATAAGCAATGAAACAGACAAGCAAGTGATATCTGTGTTAAAGGGAAAACATGGGCTTGAAGTGCAAGCCCCTATTTTATGTATTTTTTTCCTGCTGCTAGAAAAAGAGACCAAAGACTTTAGCCAGAGATGAACTTATGACACACGGACAATAAACAAAGATTCTATTTAAGCGAGTCAAGAATTTCCTGTGGAAGACAGAAGAGTAGAGGAGGTAGAGATGAATAATGGGAGAGTGGTAGTATGGATAGTTGATTAGAGACTCAAAGAAAGTTGAAGCGCTATAATAAAAAAATAGTGAACAATAGGGCTGAGAAGTGATAAAGCAGGAGATAGTAGAGGTGTTTTACTTGCTTGCTGCTGACCATTGTTTGATCCCTGTCTCCATATGTGGTTTTTCTAGTTAAGATGCTTAAGTAGTGTGCAGGGGCTGCTAAGATAGTGCAGCAAGTAAGTCACTTTACTTGCACAGAGCTAACCCAGGTTCTATCCTTGGCACCTTATATGGACCAGTGAGCACCCCCAGGAGTGATCAGTGAGCATCTAGCCAGGAATAAGTCCTGAACAGTGCTGAATGTGGCCTACATCCCTGTCCCCTTACAAAAAATGTCAATAGTGTGCATTTACTTGTGGTAGTCTTCAAGATAGTGAAAGAAGTGATGAAAAAGCTCACTGGAGGTATACTGCATATCTTCCATTTGTCCCTCCAGATCCATTCTCCACACTTTGATACCTAACTCAGTACCTTGGGAGCTGAAAGCTATGAATTAAGTCAACAGCGTTCCTTCCTTTCTTGTTTTGATTGGATCTTGCCAATGGGGATTCTCAAAAGATATAGTGGAGGTAGAATGTGTCCTGAAATGGAAGGTCTCCACTCATCAATGGGTTCTTCTCTACATCATATCCCAAAGTTCTCTCCCCTATCCCTTTAAGCATAGGGTTGATAACAGTGCCACTGTTACTAACCCTGAGTCCTGCACTTTCTGCTGTACCTTTCCTATTTCACCTTTGTAAATAGTCCCTTTATTAAAGAATTCCCACATTAACCTAATCTAAGTATGCCATCTTTATCCAGTTGGGGAAACTAGTACAGGGAAGTACAAACACTTGATAAGAATTTTAAAAGAGCTGGAGGGTTTTTTTAAAAATTCTTTTTCCTTGTTTTGGAGTTTGGGGCTGGACCTGGCTGTGATCAGGGCTTGCTCCTGGCTCTGTACTCAGGGGAACAACTGGGGTACCAGGGATTGATCCTGGCTCAGTGTGTGCAAAGCAAACACCCTACCTCTGTACTGTCATGCTGGCACCAGATTTGGAGGTTTTGAAAGAAGGACAACTGCTTTGGAGCAATACGGGATCAAGAAATTAACCTTCCCATCCCCTACGGGGCTATGAACAATAAATGACTCTCTTTGACAGAGATTGAGGAAGTATGGGAAAGCAAGGTTTTAGCTTATGCAGTAATGTGGAGGATATGTTCAAAAAGAAGTGGAAGGTTTAGGGAAAGTTTACAAGTTACAAGAAATGAGACCTGCAGGGAAGAGTAGGGTACTTTGAAGGGTGGTGAGG